ATCCTTACTCTGGCTGTATGGTCCCTATTCTATGTGTGTGTGTGTGTCCCTATGCTATGTGTCTGTGTGTCCCTATTCTATGTGTGTGTGTGTGTGTCCCTATTCTATGTGTGTGTGTGCGTCCCTGTTCTGTCTGTGTGTCCCCCCTGCTGGTCACTTACCTCGGCTGTCTCCTGGTGTGGAGCGTGGGCTCACCTCTGCTCTTCTCACAGATCCTGGCTTCTGTTACTGGCCCTGGAACACGTAGGATGAACACAGTGAACTCTGGTTTTCATGTCTATTTGCTTCACCTTCTGTGCCGCGGTCGGAGCGCCAGGTTTTTCACGGGTAAGTGTGTTTTTCACTGTTGGTTTCGTAATTCGGTACTTAACAAAAAAAAAAAAAACGGAATAAAAAAATAATAAATTAAATAAAAAAATATAAATAAATAAATAAAGTAAAAATAAATAAAAAGATAATAACAACAGTTCGTGGACACCGCTTACCAGGGAGTCCACTCTGGTTATTCCCCCCATTCTCAATATTTATTATATGCTTTAGTACAGTTTCCTGCAGAGTCCTGCGCAGCTAATAGCGCTGGCGATGTCTCCCAGGAGGCGGGCGTTTCATGTGGCTCAGGGCACTGCTGATGCGTGTGTATGGCCCGCTTGGCTGGCGCTTGTCGCGAAATACTAGGGAGCAGATTGGGGAAGGTTTTTATTGGCGATGGATTCCTTTCTGCCACTGGGGGTCCCTTGGGTGAGGGACATATAAAAAAAAATAAAATAATACAGTACTCGGTTACACACCATGGCGCACGGGAATTGTGTCTGGGAATCAAAGGTTATGGGTAGCATTGTCGGGGGGAGGGCTCCCAGAGAATGCTTGCGTTGTTCTGCTGTCAGGACACTCTCTGGGACTCGTGTCATACCTAGGGTCAGCTGGGTTGGTGGAGGTACGTCTTGCACTTTCGTCCATGGTTGACGTGTGACCCTTTCTGGTCCGAGACCTGAGCACGGCACGTTTTTGCCATTTTTTGGGGGGGGTCGGTGGGGGAACACCATCCCCCTCACTGGCCCCCCAGCCGGAGGCTAGCCGGTGGTTGGAAATTCACCGACAGTCATGGTAAGTGGGGTTGCAGGGCTATCTGTCGGGATAGGGGGACATGGGTGCTCTACATGCAGGCCCTCTTCGGTCCATATGAGAATTCCATCGGGTGGTGCAGGAGCGGCTTCCCAAGAAGCTTGATAGGCTTACCTCCCGACCGTTTTCTGGTGTGCCCCCGGAATCCGCTCTCATCCTCCCTTCCCCCACCTTGGAACATGGGGCCCATGGAGGAGCGGGGGGCGGTTTTCACCTGATTCCTCATTATTCATTTGTCATTCCCTACAAGGGAGGTATGGGGTATTGTGGCATGATGCAGCAGTCCGAGGGGTTAGGGCTGCGGGGGCCCAGGGGC